TGCTTCTGGTAGCTGCGGACCGGCGGCGGCACCGGTGGCACCGGCGGCTGCTGCTGCCAGTCGGTGAAGGAGCTGGGCAGCGGCGGCGGCGGCAGCCCCGGCGGGGGCGGCCCCGGCGGCGGCGGGGGGCCCAGGAGTACGGACTGCAGCTGCTTCTGGTGCATCTGCTGGAGCTGTTGCAGCTGGGCCAGGTGCTGCTCCTGCAGGCTCAGGAACCCCGAGGAACCGGCGGGCGGCGGCGCGGCGGCGGGGGGCGCGGGCCCCGGCGGCGGGTAGCTGGGAAGCGGCATCGGCGGAACGGCGGGAGGCGGCACGCTGGGGGGCGGGATGGGCAGCGGCGGGGGCGGGATGGAGGTGGGGGGCGGCGGGTAGTGCCCAGCCGCCCCGTACAAGCCCCAGGCCGGGTACATGGCGGAGCACGGAGCGGTCACAGGCCGCGGCAGCGGCGGCGGGCGGCGCACGGCGCCTGCGCGGGGAGGCCCCACCCCGCCGAGCAGTCGAGGGTGAGAGCCGCGCCAGAGCGCCCCGCGCGCTGCTGGGAGGGTGGCAGCGCCGCCTAGCGGACAGCTGCCTCCAGCGCGGGGCCCAGGGCGGAGGCGAGCGCGGAGCGGCACATCCCGCCCGCCCCGCCGGGAACAAGAGACGGGATGGGAGCGGACGGGACGGGGGCAGGCGACAGACGGGAGCCACCGCGGGCCCGGCGCGAGGCCTCCGCTGTGCGTAGAGGTGCCGCCAGGCGCTCCGCAAGCTAGGCTGTGTATGGCGGGCCTCAGTGCCGGTTACCCAGCCTGAAGTGTGAGTTAAATATACAAATATGTTCTGTGGGCAGTTAGCAATGATTCATGCTAAGTGCTCAACTCCCATCGTAGGGAAGAGGCGTGTGTGTGTGTGTGTGTGTATGTGTGAATTCTGGTAGCTGGGCAGTGAAGCCTGGTGGCTCCCGGTCCGCAGGACACCAGCACTGCGGTGCTCTGCTCGGCCTCCTTTACACGCACAGAAAGCCTGAGCAATTTTTGTCATGCTCAGTCTCTGGTTCATGCCCGTTGAATGAAGGATCCCAGGCCAGTGGAGAAATGCAGGTGTGGAGGAAAGGTCCTAAGACTTTTCAGTCAGGAGAAATATCAAGAAAATCACATTGTTAGGTAGAGAAGAAGCTTTATCCTCTCTGGTGGAAAAACTGGAGTTTATGTTCATTTGCTGTTAAATCTTAGAAGTCCAGAGGAGATACACCATGAAACTGCAAGAAAATATTTGAGTGAATTCAACTGAGATGCAAATCTTTAAGAAAACTAACTTAATTTTTTACTTATAGAACTGCCTTTTCTATTATTTGGTATCCCTTCTTTTCATTTAGAGGCAATTATTGATCCTTTTCTGTTTAGGATGGTCTGTTTAGACTTCTCTTGCAGTGAATATGACTTTCAGATAGCATTTGTATTTTTAGCCTGCATCTACTGTTCATTGTATTGTAATTAACGTTTATATACCTGGGTTCTATGGACCAGTTTACTCACTAAGCTTTTGAAAGTCTGTCCTTCCCACACAAGGAATTCCTATTGCAAACATCCTTTAATTTATCCTCCTGATCTATTCACTCTATACGAGTTCTCTTGTGATCACTTTAGTAACAGTTATTTCCTGCAAGCTTCTTCTACTATTTTTGCTGTTTTTTGTGGTTACTCAATATTGTCAAGAGACTTGTTACTTCTCTTGAGGGAATCAAGTACCTAGACACTTTCAGGGCAATTGTTTTCCAGCCTACATTGTGGAAGCCAAAATGTAACTTCCAAATAACTTGACAGGTGCTTTTTCAATATTCAAATCTGGTTTGGGTTGCAGTACAGTTGACTCTCACCAGACAGGATACACTGGCTTTACCCAATGTTACCTTGTCCTTAAACCAACCCTGTTAAGTTCACATTATGTCCTCTGATTCCTTTATTCAGAATATGTTATTTTTATTATTTTATTCTGTTCAGTCTGTAACATTAAAGGGTGCCATCATGTTGGTTTTGGTTAATTTTCTTAAAAATAGCTCATGTTCTTCCTGCTTCTAAACACTATTATACCACATTTCAGTTACCCCTCAATTAACCAGTGTCACATCTTGGATCAGCAGCTTAAATTTCTTCATCTGGTAAGGCTGTAGTAATCTTAAACCTTCTAGTGGCTCCATAAAGGAGTAGAAATTATTTTCTACCATTCTTTGCATATATTCAGATTTTCTTTATGAGGTGCTCCCGTATGTTCTCTGTCTTCTGAAGCTATGGAAACCGGCTACAGCAGGAGACAGGATGTTAGCAGGGAGGCTGAATTCTCTAGTTACTAAGAAACACTGCAAGCATCTGATAGTTAAATCCTGTGCAGGTTTAAACCATCTGCCAGAGTTGAGTCAGGAAGGAATTTCTCTTCCGGCTTGGACTGACAGAGCTCTGCATTTGTGGGAATATCAAAATATTGTAGTTTACCAAATTCTTTCCTGTGACAATGATCCTTCCTCCTCTGACATACTGTAAATTAGATAAGATACTGGGATGCCATTGTGTGCATGGAGTAAGTATTTTCCTCTGAACCAAGTGTTTGGTACACAGGTTCCCTGGCATTGCAGAAGCAGGTGATCATTCAGGTGGTCCTCTCCTGTCCTATTTATCTTCTGACCAGGTTCTTTGAGTTAGCAGCCAAGTTTTTTGTCTTACCAGTCATACTCAAATTAATGAAAATTTCCTGATGGGTTTGCTCACTGCCAATACTTTCTTCTGCTCATCCTCCAACTCTCCTAACACATCTTTAGCAATTGCCTTATACCTATTTCAGATTCCTCCTCCTTTTACTAAAATGAGGCAGAGTAAGAGGAATAAAAGATTTCAGTATACGGAATAAAAATTTCAGTAAATGAGCACATTTAGTTTGATTCCTACCCACCGTTCATGCTAAATACAATATTTTCATGAAGTCCTTGCAAAAGGCATTCTGCTGGCAAGTATATGTTCCCCAAATTCATCAGGCTGCTGTGCCTTTGAGCTGTTCTGTGCCAGAAAGACTATTATCAAATGTTACCCTAAGTATCCATTCCTTTCTTATTTCTTCTCCAGTCTCCTTCCATTTAGATTAATTCAAGTGAAGTTATTTGCACTAGAACAATTCTAGTCAATTACTGACTCAAAGAAGTCTTTCAAAACTAGAATTATTCTGAAAAGCAAGTTACAGACATCTAATCCTACAACTCAGTCCTCATTTGACTGAACATGGGCTTCAACTGTTCATGACAATTCTTGATCATTAGCTTAAAGAAATATGGATTGGATTGAGAGAACAAAACTAAGGATATTATTTTTGAAACATACGTGTTATATACTAACTGTAAAATCTCTCCCTTGTTGGCTACTTTCTTCCTGGCTGGAGGCAGAAAAAATTAACTTTGTGATAACCTGGAAGGGACTAAATTTTCAAAGTGTCATTATGCTGTTATTTCAGGGATGTTTAATAGGTGAGTCTGCAACAAGCACAGAGATAGCATAAGAAGTAAGTCTGATGTGTTCCCGAAGTTTCCTGAAGTATCTGTAGAGGTAGGTTGCTAGCAAGGAAGTTACCAGGATGTCAGAGCATGTCCCAAAGACAGGAAATTATCTTCACTGCATGCTGTCCAGCATGCAGACAGCCAAGTTCAGCTATTATATAATTTTTAAGGTTGGAAGAGACCTCCAAGGTCATCGAGTCCAACGATTAAAACAGCACTGCCAAATCTGTCACTAAACCATGTCTCTAAGTACCACATCCACACTTTAACAATTCCAGGCCTAGTGATTCTACCACTTCCCTAGGCAGCCTGCTCCAATGCTTGACCACCTTTTCAAGGAAGCAATTTTTCCCAATATCCAATCCTTTCTGGTAGTTGTAGAGCGATAAGGTCTCTACTGAGCCTTCTTTTCTCCAGACTAAATGCCAGCTCCCTCAGTTGTTTCTCATCAGATTTGTGCTCCAGGCCCTTCACCAGCTCCACTGCCCTTCTCTGGACATGCTCCAGCACTTCAATGTCTTGCCTTGTAATGAGGGACCCAGAACTCAACACAGGACTCAAGGTGCAGCCGCACCAGCACCAAGTACAGGGGGAGGATTGCTTCCCTAGTCCTGCTGGCCACACTATTTCTGATACAGGCAAGGATGCTATTGGCCTTTGTAGCTACCTCTGCAGCCAAACCAGTGTAAGGGACTACAGGATAAAGCTCTATTAAAGTCTATGAAGTTAATTATACCAAGAATATAAATTTTCAGTCTTCTCCTGTACTACACCTCCAGCATTTTGGCCAGAAAGCGTGCTTTGGCATGTTGGCTCCTGGTGACCCTCTCCTCACCACACAGCAGAGATTGTAAGAGCAAATTATATTGCTAAAAATGAAGAAATTATGGAGGAGATAGGAGAATGCAGAGTTATGGCTTTGAAATACTTTTCCCCCTACCTTTCTTCATGTGGTTTAATAATTTCTTTTCCCTCCCTCCCTGATCACTTCCTTCTCTGCAGCAAATTCTGCAGACTCTTTATCTGCAACCATTGTTTTATTCCTCTACAAGGACCATGCTCCCAGCCCACATTAATACCTTAAGCTGTTAAGACACTTTGCTTCTTGTCCCTGATACCTAACAAAAGTGATAAGGCTTTGAGGTGTGTAGGACCCAAACAAACAAGAGGGAAAGACCTGTCCCAACCCAACCCTGCCCTTCACCACTCTAAATGTAAGCAAAAGGACCAGCAGCTAACCAAGTCCAGACAGAGCAGAGAGGATGCTTAGACAAACTTCATTCATTGTGCAGTTGAATAAAAGCCCATCTATTCTGAATTAAAATCTAGACTGCTTTTCCAGGAAAGCCACCAACTGGTGCAAATCTAATGTCTTTTCTGCAGAATGAAGATTCTGATTTGACTGAACAGGTGTGAGGTAGCTTCCCAAAGGAATACCTGTCCCACTCCAGGTGCAGCAGTAAGAAACTTTTAAAATCTCTTATGGTTTCATTCTCAGCCAGAGTTGCATCATCAATATTTAATTCAGAATGCTGAAATCACTTTTTCCAATGGTCCTCATGCAGAGCTAGGCACATTCTTGGTCCTCCTGTCCTCTGTTTCCCATATGCTTCTCCCAGCTGTAGATAATTGGACTAAGGCAGAGGATGGATGAATAAAACCAGACTCTTCAAAATAGCTTTCTCGTAGAAAAACAAGGATAAGAAGTCAGTTTGGTGTTATCCACAGTCCTATGAGCAGAGTTCCAACAAAAGAAGAAAGCAGGAGGGTTGGAATCAGAAGACCCTTATCCTGGCTCACCGTCCTGGCATTGATGGCTTGGCTGGACAGGTTAGAACCGAGGAGCTCCATAATCATCTGGCATCCTCTCAATATTGTACCTGAGAAAGAAGGAAAACTCATGAAGACAATCTATTCCACATTGCTCCCCTCCCCACTGTGGTGGTGCATCTCCCCACTCTTCCTCCTCAGGGCTACACTACCATCTCAGGGATTCCACCTAAGTCTTGGCCTTTGTGTAATGAGTTAGGTGGTGAAGCATCCTTTCACCATACCAGGAAGCCTTGCATGACCAAGGTAAGAACAGCACTGACTGTACTGGGAACTCCTGTTGCAGGTCTATGGTGAAGAATGAGATTGTCAGTCATACTCTGACAATCCTACCTAATTTGTGGCCTAAGTGGAATGGTACCAATGTTACCAGAGTTTTGGAAACTCTAGCAATTACGAGTCACTGTTATAATTGTAATAAACCCTATCAAATCACTTTATAAATGTTAAATCAGTCAATGATTAAATGCTTCTAAAATCTAATTTAGACAGAGACTGTTGACCAAGCCTGGGACTAAGATTGGATACAGCTGCACCTGGACTCCATCAGGAGTTTGAAAAGCAAGGAGATCCTTACTGAACCCTGTGATTCGATGGGACGGTCTTCTTTTGCTCTCCTGGTCTCCATGCAAAACATTCTAAAGTGATTCTGAGTCGATTTTCCTTTCTACGTTTCATCCATGTAGTAACAGAATGAACCTTGCCATTAAACTCTGTTAAGTTGCCCTGCTACAATCTTATATTAAAAGCTGCTTCTGTTAGTGTACCTTTGACAGCAATTCTTCACGTGGATTAAAGCATTCATTTGTGACACCATTCAGCACCAGGCTGAGAGACAGACTGATAGCAAGAAGCTCTGTTGCATTTCTATCTGCACCTCAGATCTCCAGGAAGTAAAATATAACTTCTGAAATTAAAAAGTCTTCATAAGGTTGCTGTTATTCTTCACCTTAAACTCATCAATCAGACATCTCAAAAACTCACTAACTCCAGAGAAGGAAAACACCCTGTGGTTTTGTAAGATTTGGCTTAGGATTTAAGAGTAGATCACCACAGAAAATAAAACTTTAGACATTCAAGTTATAATTCATTCAACTTGTAATTCACAAAATCATTTAGATTGGAAAAGACCTCCAAGATCACTGAGTCCAGCCTTTGACTAAATATCACCTTGAGAATTAGACCATGGCACTAAGTGCCATGTACAGTTATTTCTTGAATACCCCCAGGGATGGTGAACTCCATCCACCACCCTTGGCAGCCTCTTCCAAAAGTTCATGCCCACGGTGAATAAGGAGAAAAGGTGTTTTGAGAAAAAAATCGTTTGAGCCACATTCTAATTATAGATCAGTTAAAACTTTACATATCTATATCAATCAAGCTCCTAATTTCCAACATACTGCACTACTATCCTTCTGAGTTGGCTTGGTTTTTAGTTAAGAAGCAAATTCAGTCTCTTAGCCAAGGGTATGCAAAGCTACCAAATAGAATATGGAACAAGAATGGTTCTTTTCTTCAAGAACTTGTGGAATGCATTTGCCTGGTAGTCCTGCTGTAGCTGATAAGCAAAATTGAACTATGGAAATACTGGCCTTAAGAAAACCACTTCTTCAGGTAAAGACAAGTGAACATGTAGACAGACTGCAATAAAAATGGGTCTGTGACCAGTCTCTTCCCAGCAGTAGCTGCACTTCAACTTCTGTGTAAACGCCAGGCCATTTACTGCAGCCTGCACTACAGACAATGAAAAAGTATGTGGTCATAGAGTCCCTGTCGGACAAGGACTGCACTGGGCAGGATTCCTTCCTGTCAGGGGTCCCTTACCTGTGCCTGGAAATATACATTATAGGCACCCCAGGGATTTTTCGTATTCTCCGCTTGAGCTCTTTATCCACTGTGGCCACAATGTAACATTTGTGCTGCAAAAAAAGATGGCAAGTCAGATTCAACACGAGCGAACCCCAGAAAGGAATCATGGCTGACCCAACGTTCCTATTCCGTGAGTTCATTGAACGCAAGAAGGCTGAGAATCCTTAGCAAGGCATTACCAGGACACTTGTACAGAATTCCTCAGCAGACTAATAATATCCTTCTCTCCATCAAAATAGACGACTCAAAAAATCTCCGAAACTGTGTCCAGCCTTTCAAGCTGACAGCTTTCCCACCCTACATGCTTCTTGATGCTGTCCTGTACAACAAGAATGCTCAGGGAAGATAATACCTTGCATCAAATAAAGTTGTACTGGAACTGAAAATGCCCCTTGGTGAGATTTTATAGTTATCTTTGGGAAGTTTAAGTCAGTCACTAATTAGCTCTGAAATTTTTAGTATGTTATAGCACAGTATAGAAAATGTCAGAAAGGGAAATACCTGAGTGACTCTCTGCACCAAGCAGTCATCGGCGTAGGTTCCTTTGTGCATACATGGCAAGCGTTCAAACCGAGGGTCCTTGGCAATTCTGCAGGGATAGAAAAAGCAGCATCACAGCAATCAGACCACAGAGTACAGTAAGAGTGTATGGAGGAACAAGAACACCTCTTTCTGTGATATACAGAACATTGTTCTCAAAACAAGGGATGAAGGGATGGAGTGAATGGTAGACAAAGGTCAACTGAAATGACCTGCAAAAAAAAAATGCAATTGGTCTAGTTATTATAGGTTAAGTATTTCTTAGTACTGGTTTACTGGATTCAAAATCTGGACAATGTTAGGCCATTGCCAAACAAAATAATTTCAAATAAGTTATTTGTGGGAAAAACTAGAACTTCTGGCATCTGATCATTTGTACCATGCATAAAGGGACATTTCACCTCCTGTCTGAAGGGCAACGTCAAAGCTGTTGAGGATATACACTTGTATACTTTACAACACAGCAGGCCAAAATAAAAAGAACAATACAGCCGAGTGATGTACATGAACTACATTGGTACCTACTCATGCAGGAATAACATAAAGTATGAATGAAAAGTTCTGAAAGACTTATGTCACTTCTCTATTAATTTTTAGAAATTCTGTAATTAATTTTTTTTTAGAAACAGGAAACAGCATTACTTTGAAAGTCTTAGGAGGTTAAAAGATTTACAGATTAATATTGTGCACTCATACCTAGCATTTAGTTTCTAAAACTTGAGCCATTGTACTCATCTCATAGACACGGAAATAAAATCAAGTTCAGGACCCTGCAACAACCTAACCACCCTCTAGTGCAGAAGCACCAGTCATAGCAAGTGTTTTACATTTATTTGTATTAAAGCATTAAGTTCTAGAAACAGAAAACACCCTGCACGTACCTTAATGCCACACGGTACTTCTGTCCTAACTTCTCGATTTCACCCATCACACAATCTGTGATACATGGAATACCTAAATGCAAAAAACCGCCCGTATTAAAACAAAGCAGTATTTATTCCCAGACCCCTATATACTGCCCACATGCCCTAGAAACATGATGGAACTCTATAATGTATTACTTACAGTGAAAACTGATAATGCTGCAAAGTGATGAAATGTAGAGCCACCAAGTTTAACCATGCCATGGTAATTTTAGATTTTTAAGTTATTAGTACTCTACCTTTGCTGAGATTAGCATTTTAAAACCGTTACTTGACTGAAACCAGAGACATTGCCAGGGTTACCACAGCTCCATGATTATAGCACATATTCTTTTTGCAAGATTTCTGTTATTCTCAGGCAGTGACATGAGGCTGACAAAGCACATTATGAGCACGCTGTGGCACTATGTGGTCTGAAGAAGCTGTGAGTGGTGCAGAAACTCACACTTGGCATAGAGACAGTCCATCATCGACTGCACTAGGTCCAGTTTGGCCTTGATGGAGAAGTTGATGAAGTTGGTGTCAACCAGGATGTGGTAAGGGGGGCCCAGCTGTGTATTATACTGGAAGAACAAGCAAGAGGGATGCTGGGGGCTGCAAGGAAGACAAAGAATTCAAATCAGTTAATTGCATTTAACATCATGTTCAGTCATACAACTTGCACAGAATGAAAGAGGGATAATGAGCAGAAAGACCCATCAGGCCTCCTGCCGCCTCCCAAGCACAATCCTTCGGTTTGGGGCACCACTTGTTCTTCTGACAGTATCGCTCAGAAACACCCTTAGTTCCAACCTGAAATGTGGCCGGCCGGCCTTCCCTCCATCTTTCCTTCCTTCTCTCCCTCCCCCCTTTCGTCTCTCCCTCCCCAGTGCCTCGGCAGCACTTACACCTCCCGCTCTTTGATGGCACTCGGATCCTCCTTCTTCTTCACAGGGGCTTTTGCGCGATCCTTCTCTTTACTGCAAACAAACATAGGCACTACTGGGGTACAGCGATAAGGAAGGGCTGCCAGCGGCGGAGAAACCTGGGCCGGAACCTCCTCCCGCCTCTCCCGAGCGGGCCCGGGCCCAGCCGCAGCCACACTCACATGCGCTCATCCCGGAGGCTGATCATGCGCTTCATGACCGCGTACTTCCGCGCCTTCTTCTGCTTCCCCTGCAAGGACACGGACACGCAGCCGCGATGAGCTAGGGAGAGACCAGATCCCAGCCAGACCCCCCACCCCGGCCCGCTCCCGGCCCACCATGCTGTTCCTGCCGGTCCCGCTGCCACTGCCGGTGTCCCTGGTGCGTCACTGGCCCCGCCCCGGGAGCGCGTCATCTCCGGCTGCCAGCGCCGGGCAGCGGCAGCGCGGTTGTGGACGTCGTTGGAGACCACGGTAACAGCGGTAGCGCGTTTCCCTCTCCGTCGCCTCGGGTCCCGGCGTGGGGAACCGGCTCCCGGGGCGAGGGAGCTGCAGCCGCAGCCCGGCTTCCCCGCCGTGACGGGCGTCCCCTGGGGTGACGGCCCCGCTGCCGGCCCGGAGCACCCGCCGTGGGCCTGGGAGAACCGCGGCGGGGTCCCCGCGCTGTCGGCGGCAGGAATGGCTCCAGGAGGGTCGCGGCGGGGCCGGGCGAGCGGGAAGGGCCGGTTCTGCCTGCCCAGTGGCGGCCTCGGGCTCTTCGCTTCGGCTTAGCCCCGCCGTCTGCGCAGCGCTGCGGGGTATCGGGGGCACGTCGGGTAGGTGCGGGCGAGCTGTTGCCTGTGGAAAGGCCGTGGGGATTGGTGGCCCCGCCGAGCCCACCGCTGCTGCGGGCTGGAGGGGGAACCGCAGCACACCAGTCGCCCTCCTTCCTCCTCTTCTCTGTTAGCAGAGCCAGGACGTTATGGACTTCTTCAGCCCACTCGAGCTTGCTGGACTGTTTTGTTTTTTTTTAAAGAGTTAATGTAGTGCTGGTTTTGCCACGCTCTAGCTCATGAATTTCTTAATGAAAAGCAGTGGGTTGTCATTATCTTTAGATCTTACCTATATTTGTGATCAGGAATCTTAGCGAATGAGCATAATTTTAGTTATACTTTATGCAGTCATAGTGGTGTAGTCTGACCCAAAATGTCTTTTCTGCACATGAATGGAAACGTTCTCCAAGATCTTGGACTGGTCCGCGGCATTTGGTTTCTCGTGCCCTGTGCAAGGAAAGGAGAAAGAAAGGCGTTCGTCACGAAAGCTTCTGGGATTAGTGAGATCTTGTAGCTGTTAGTATCTTCCAAATACAACCGGTTTTATCTGGTGTGCTGGTCAGAAAAAGCAGCCAATGAGGAACCACTCAGGAGTTTTTTCCTGAGGTGGTGACCTCTTGTAGAACTGTGACTGATGCTCTGACAATGAGGAAGAAAATTAGACTGAAAGGAAAACCACAGCTGAGCTTTCCACCTGAGCAATTATACGTAGCTTAACTGTTGGTTGAGGAAATGCAGTTGGTAGAGCTCACATGATGTGACCCTCAGTGGTTTGGGAAGAGAAATAATTGAGGAAAAAGGGGGGTGATCTGCTTTCCTCACTGATGTGCAGCAGAGCAAGTGACTGAATTTTGTCCTGGCTCAGGAAGCAGATTTGGTGTCGAGATGAGAGTGGCCTGAGAGTTGCCATCTGGCCGGCTTGCCGTGTTCTGCAAGGGCAGGAGGAGAGGACAGTGCTGGTGGTGGTTCATTCGCAATGAAAGTCCTTAGACTTAAGCAGCTGACAGAAATCTCTTTTTATTTTGTTTTCTTGTTGCCACTGTTTTATGTAGCTTGTATGTAAATGCATATGACAAATTCCATCCCTAATAAGAGAATGACTGTTTTGTGTAGACACTGACCATTGATGCAGCTTTTGTCCTTGACAGCTGATACTGGATCTTGCTTAGTGCTTTTTGTACTAACTTTTCAGTTTTCTGTGAATGTATTTTAGAGTTAGTTTCTCATGGGCATTCCTGTTTGTTGGTTTGTGCCTGTTTTACTTAGTGTAATAAAATACTGTCTCTTTTGCTAGAGAATAGGCATCTGTGCGTGGCATGTGCCATTGGTGGTAGATATTTGTGCACATGGATTGAGAGAGATTCTGCACAAAGATTGGATGGAGTAGTATTGACCCGCAGGAAAGCTTTAAAACAAAATTAAAGGCTTGTTGTTAAGAGAAGAATGGCAATTTAGCAGTGCACCAAATGAAATCAAGAAGCACAGCAGATTTCGTAGGAATTCAGTACGTCTGTTCCGTAGAGCATGCCCCTAGCTGGTTTTATAGCTGTAGCCACATGAATGTGACATTACTATGTTACAGTTCCTTTTGTACGTGTTACACTTGTGCTTGCTTCTGGAGCTCTGCACTGTGCTCCTCTGGCTCTAACAGCGGCAGTAACACAAACTAAATGTATTCCTGTTACTGAACTTCCTTTCCTTTCTGTCTTGATAAAGCAGTAGACCTAATGCGGTTAATGCAGTTTATTTTATGATTCCATGCTGTCTACCCTGATTATGCCAGTATCTCTACTCAAGTCAAACGAAGGTGAAGCTTTCAAATCCCCATTTTCCCTGCAGGTGGCAGGAGATCATTGCTTCCTCTGTCCTTGGATCAATATCACTAAGACCTGTTGGATAATTCAATTTTTTTTTTTCCAGCCTAACTATGATGGCACCTTATATTGCCACTTTTCAGAATCCATTTCCCAGATTGTTACCCAGCAGTACTTAGCACAGATGCTATTTTAATTCACATCTGCATTCTGTTCAGTGAGTGGCGGTGTATCTTGGATACCACCTACTTACAATTAGGTTCTTCATTTCAATGTGTTCCAGCTGCAAGAGCACCCTTAAAGCTGCTGGCAGTGAGTAAGCTAGAAGGAAGTTAATTGTATTACAGCCACTTCATCTCTGGTTGGTGTCTTGTTTACCACGTCATGTAGGGATAATAAAATGACAAGTTGCTGTGCTGATTAATTAATACAAGTGAGATAGCTGATTCCCTGTGTCCAGCGAGTTCAAAAATTCTGCAAACCAGGTCAAGAGATTCAGGTTCCAATTGACTTAAAAAACGCTGAAGTTTAAATGATGGATCTTTCTATGCTTGAGAGAGAGGCTGTGTGACCTGTGGTGTGCCTCATAGAGGGGAAGGAGTTGTGGAGTGAAGCAGAAATAGCTTGAGTAGATGAACCCACAGAGACAGCTTTGTGGGTTTTTTTTGTGACATGAAGAGACTGGTTCTGGAAGATGCTGGAGGGAGATATTGTAGATTCCTAATATTGGTAAGTTTCTGTGAAATTCCTCAGCTGTGTGGGGAGCAGTCGTGTGCCTTCCACAGCCAGGCCAAGCTGGAGCAGGGTTTCAACCAGTCATTTGTAGCATATCTCAGATATGTACTGTGAAACAGCTAAAATACCAAGGAAATTGCTAGCTCTGTGGTCCTTAACACACAGAAATTTATGAGTTCAGAAAACTGATGCTGTAACTAGGAAGGGGGTGCCCTGGGGACTGCAACAGTGTTGCAGTGAGGAAAAGTAGAGGAAGGAGGAAAATAGATGAGTGGGTGGGACTTTCCTTGAGATGTGGGTGAGGAAAAGGCAGTGAAACTCTGGCTGTTTCTGTAGCTCGATGAAAAAGCTCTGCACAAGTTTACTGATTGATTTTCATGGGCATTAGAAAGGTTAGTAGAACTGTGTAAAGGCAGCCAGATCTGTATGATTATTGGCATGGAGGGAAATAAGAGCCATCTGAAGGGGAAGGCAGAGAAGGGGGGACTAAGGAAGAAGTGACAGCTGAGGTGGTGGCATGGCAGGCGGGAGGAGCACATCATATCCCCAGAAGAGGTGACTATCTTAACAGAAAACTACCTTGGTGAGCCTGGCTCTGTTCTTCTCATTCTCACTCCTTTATGTAATCTGTGCTCTGAATGAGCAGATACTGATTGTGTGGGCTCTGTGGTGTTTCTTCTGGCATGTGTCCTGGTTTTTGTGGGCTGCGTCAATCCTTGCTGTTAAATTTTAATTTTTTTTATCTCAATCCTGACAGCAAACTGTAATTCAGTGGATAGTGCTGCTGAAGCTGAAATCCCTTATGAGGATCTCAATTTCCTGAATACCTAAAACAACAGTACCAAACTCAAAATCTAGTTTGCTTTGTGGTTCAAGAATTCTGAAAAACATTTTTTTCTTTTATTTTGAGGCTTGACTACAAATAACCCTTTAAATCTGGACAAAACTGGTTTGAGAATAGCATATAGTATTTTGTTTGGTATGAAGATTTGAAGGGCTACCTGAATTTAGAATGGTTTGGCTTGGAAGGGACCTTAAAGATAATTTAATTCCAACTCCCTAACATGGGCAGGGGTGCCATCTACTAGACCAGGTTGTTCAAAGCCCCGTGCAACTTTGTTGTGAACACTTCCAAGGATGGGGCAGCCACAACTTCTCTGGGCAACCTCATCTGGTTCCTCACTACTCATATTGAAGAATTTTGTCCTTATATCTAATCTAAACCTATCCTCTTGGTTTGAAGTCTTTCTCCTTTCCTATCTCACATGCCCTTGCAAAAAATCCCTCTGATCTTCTGGTACAGTGGGCAGTTCTTCATTCTCTCAGTCCCTGGATTTGTCTTCTGTGACTTGGTCGGTGTGGCTGGAGCAGTCGCTGGTGAAGACTGAGGGGAAAAAGTTGTTGAGTACCTCAGCCTTCTCATTGTCCCAGGTAACTAGGTCTCCTGTTTCCTTCAGGAGAGGGTACATGTTTTCCCTAGTCTTTATTTATCACCAGTGTACCTATACAAAGTTTTCATGGTGCCCTTGATATCCCTGGCAAGGTTTAGTTCTATGAGGGCTTTAGCTTTTGTTACATGATCTTTGGCTGTTGAGACAATCTCTCTATATTCCTCCTAGGCTATCAGTTTTTGCTTCCATCCTTAATACTCCTTAAACATCATGCAGATTCTTAGCTGCTCCATGAAACCTATGGAGGCAAGGATGTGTTTAGTTCCATCTTGAATGTGCTAGTTTCAGGCAGTTGTATAATGAAATGAGGTTGTGACAGATAGAGATTGAGGATATGGTGAAGCTTTGTACCTCATCAAGAGTGGTGCTTTTATAGCACCTCTCATGGATTTGATGTCTAGTGATGCTCTTGAATCTTGCACCTCTCATTATTTCTGCTTGCTAGATTTATCCACAATGTAGACATCTAACATTTCTCTCTTCTTTTTTTTTACTTTTCCAGGAAAGCTAGCCAACTGCAGGCTAAAGGAAACA